ATCCTGTTTTCCTATTACTGATATTGGCATCATCTTTGCAGACACCCACATCCAAACCCTCAGGTTATATTTGATGCTCCTTCTCCTTTGCTGCCCCCCTCGCAACCCCCCCCCCCCATCCAATCATTTGTCAATTCCTTGTGAGCCTTTTCTCTCAATTTCTCCTATACCACTTTCTCATCCAGTTACTCCACCCTGGTCTGAGTTATTACCTCTCTGAGTAATGCAAACGTATCACCGCTCTTCCCACCTCCAGGTGTCCCTTGGTACGTGCACCAAATGAGTTGTCCTGCCGCCAAGCCCGCTTGATGCCCACACTTAACTACCATATCTCCCTGGTCTTATCTCCTCTGGATCCTTGGTTGGCATCTCTGCTTCATTTAGGCAAATGGGGGCATTCCCTGTTCTGTGGAATTTTCTCACATTCCCTCTGTGCTCGACGTTCTAAGTTCCCTCCACTAGGGAACTAATTTCCTCCCAGTCTGCAACTTTCAGAATGGTACAGTTTGTTTGTATCATTCAGGGATTTGAGTTGCAAGAAGGGGAGGTGCCTCTGGCTACTTTAAACAGAACAGGGGTTTATGGGAAGAATATCAAGTTGCTTGCAGGGGCAGCTGGAGGAGCTGGTAGAGGAGTGAGGACCAAGCAGGGTAACACCTCTGTAAGGAAGTCCTGGGACCTTTCCAGTAAAAACTACCTGAATCTCCTTTTTCTCCTTTCTGCCACTCTCCCCCGTTGTGAAGTCCTGAGTTTGAAGGTTCTACCCAGGTCAATCCCAAAGCATTCATTCTTACAGGGCTTCTGGGAGTGGAGAGATGGAGAAGCCCACTCTGGTCCCACCAAACTCAGACAGGGGCCTCCCTAAGGAAGGGGGCTGGCTGGAGGGCAGCCAAGGTTTCTCAAGGTCCATTCTCAAGGCCACCACCTTTCATAAAATCTAAAGACTCTTCCGACTCCTGGAATATATCTCACTTGGTATCTTTCATGATATGATATTATATGATAAGATATGCTATGAAATGATATATACATTTTCAGACAAAACATCATCTTGAAAGAAGAGTTGGGTCTTACGGCGGGTTGAATGGTGGCCCCCGAAGATATGTTCACACGGAGATTTTGAATGTGATCTTATTTTGAAGAAATGGTCTTTGTAGCTGTTATAAGGACCTCAAGGTGAGATCATCCTGGATTAGGGTGGGCTCTGAGTCCAATGGCAAGTCTTTTTTTAAATACAAAGTTAAAAAAAACTTTTTTCTTTATTTTGAGAGAGAGAGAGAGAGCAAGTGAGTGGGAGGAGGGGCGGGGGGGGGGCGGGACAGAGAATCTGAAATGGGCTCTATGACAGTAGTGGGCCCGATGTGGGGACTGAGCTCAAGAACTGTGAAATCATGGGGCACCTGGGTAGCTCAGTCGGTTAAGCATCCGACTTCGGCTCAGGTCATGATCTCATGGTTCATGGGTTCGAGCCCCACATCGGGCTCTGTGCTGACAGCTAGCTCAGAGCCTGGAGACTCCTTCAGATTCTATGTCTCCCTCTCTCTCTGACCCTCCCTTGCTCATGCTGTCTCTGTCTCAGAAATAAATAAAAAACGTTAAAAAAAAAAAAAAAAAGAACTGTGAGATCATGACCTGAGCCAAAGTTGATGCTCAACTGATGGAGCCACCCAGATACCCCACAAGTGTTTTGTTTTTAAAGACTGTTTTGAGAGAGAGAGAGAGGGATAGAGAGAGAAAAAATGCAAGCAAGTGGCAAAGAGAGAGAATTCCATGCAGGCTCCATGCTGTCAGCCCAAAGCCCAACGTGGGGCTCAATCTCATGAAGTATGAGATCATGGCCTGAGCTGAAATCAAGAGTTACACGTTAACCAACTGAGCCACCCACATGCCTACAATGGCAAGCGTTTTTATAAGAAGAGAGAAGGAGCCAGAAGACACAGGGGATCTGGCCATGTGAAGACAGAGGCAGAGACTGGAGTGATGTTTCCACAAGCCAGGAGATCTCTGGAGCCACCAGAAGCCGGAAGATGCAGGGAAGAGTTCTCCCCTAGAGCCTTCTGAGAAAGCATGTTGACATCATTTCAGACTCTGGCGCCAGAACTCTGAGACAGTGAACTCCCTGTTTTAAGCCACATAGTTTGAAGTAATTTATTTAGATGGCTCTTGGAAATGAATATAGGCCTCTTCAGGCTCAGTTTCTCAGCCTTCTTAGGAGCAAATGCTCAAGTCTCCTCCTGTCAGAGAACTTTTGAGGAACTGTGGTGGGCCATGGGGAACCATGGTTAGTTCTTGAGCAGAGGCGGGGCAAGATAGAAGCAATTTTTAGGAAGGTTACAGTGATGCTGATATCTAGCATAAATTTGGGGGATGGAAGGAAGTGGGTAACAGGCTAGATGGAAGGCAATGGGCGTACTGGAAAGAACAGGAATTTTGGAGTCAAGATCTACAGTGCTGACCCCAGTTCCTTCACTAACTGCTTCCATTTTTTCATGTATGTAATGAGGGTCATATATCATGTGTGAGTTACAGATGGTATATGGGTAAGAATTAAAAAGTTACCTGAGTGTTAATAGTAATAATGTAGCAATTTGGATGGTGCCAGTGGAAAGGGAAAAGAAGATACAAAGAGCTGTTTCAAGATCAGCAGAACTCAGAATCACGAGGATTTGGACTGAGAGGGATCCCAAGGTCATCTGGCCCCCTCTCTTCACTGTCCTTGGGGAGAGGGCTTGGAGAGAAGGAAGGAAGAAATGGAATTGCAGTGATGTTTCTCCCTCAGGAGCTAAGATGCCTGCCGGACTCTTGGCCAAGCGTGAGACAGTGGGAGGAGGAACTGCTTTGAGAATGAGATAAATTTACTTCTAAACCTGGTGATATTGAAGAGACAATGAGCCACCAGAGAGATTGCAGACAGGCTGAGGAACTCTCTAAGGCTACAGATCTGGGAGTTAATCACAGAACATCCAGCCAGGAAGCATACAAAAGAATGATCGACTCTCTTTAAAAAACAAACAAACAAACAAACTCACAAACACACAAACAAAAAGGGGAGGGGGTGCCTGGGTGGCTCAGTTGGTTTCAGCTCAGGTCATGATCTCTGTTTTGTGAATTCAAGCTCCGCATCAGGCTCTGTCTGGGCCGGCATCAAGGAGCCTTCTTGGGATTCTCACTCTCTTTCTCTCTCTCTCTCTCTCAATATAAAGAAATAAGCTTTTAAAAAAAAGGCATATATTCGAATAAAAGCAAAGAGCCAAACAAAGTCTGCTTTGGGAATATTACTGTTAGAGGCTGGAAGGACAGCATGCTCTATAAGGACAGATATGGGAAGGTCAGAAAGGTAGCTGTGTTAGATAAATGAAAACATGACTGAATTTCAGGTGATAGCAGAGATGCCATGTGCTTCTGAAAACTGCATAGAATAAGGATTAAGAAAGGGGCACTGGGTTTTAGATAGAATGTCCTTGGGGACTTTGCCTTTGTAAAGGAAGGAAGAAGGAAGAGGAGTTCAAGAACCATGATTCAGTGACAGTTTACAAAGCAGACAAGTTAAAAACTGGGTCAATGCTATTACATGGATTTTGGGTAAACTAATTTAAAATTGGGCCAGACCATGTATTATAATTCTGCTTTGTTTATTAGTAAGACAAAAGGATGAACTGAGGTAGTAGTGCTTTCCCCAAGGTCAAAGACAAGGAGGCTATCTAGATCCCTGCTCGGTATACTATAGCTAATTCCAGCCAGTGACCTACGGAATGCTCCCTATGGCCAGGACGTGTGCCAGGGACAGACATAGGAGCCAAGTAAATATGATCTCTCCATTTGATAGATTTTAGATAGATTAAGAAACACCTGTGCAAGGTCCCACAGTTGAAGAAGCAGAGAGTCAAACACCATACTGTGACTTTAAAGTTATACTGGCTCTAGTTACCCTACTTGGTTGGGGAACAAAGCAGGGGATGAATGATTCAGATGATACAGCCTCGTCACCTTGGGTAAATTATTATTGCCTTAATAATAATGAGAATCCGGCAGCCTCAGAAAGAATCTCATTAACATGGATCCAGGCTATTCCGCCAGGAAATCAGAATCATTTGAATAGTAGGATTTCCTTTTGGGAAGCCATCTGGGAAGGCGATCGGAGAACAGACATCTGGATGCACATGCCCTGCTAAAGGAAAACTTGTCTTTCCCCTTCCCCTGGGTTTTAATCGTCCAGATTGGTTTACAGGTAAGCCCCTACTGTGGCCAGGTGACCGCACCCGTCCCACCGCTAGTGACTGGCGGCTCCTTACAGGATTCGGCGTGCTGGGTGTGCTTGAGCCGGACCTGAGGCACCGGGGGCTTGCAGGGCTGGGTTTCCTCTCCTCCTCTTAAGAAGCGCTTCCGACGGGAAGGATGGAGTACTAAAGTGTCTGTTTGGGAAAGTAAATAGATACAAGGCAAATAAATACAAATGCCCAGAAGCAATTACAGACAGGAAGTGACATTTTTATGTAAGTCACTTCTCCGATGGACAGCAGGCCTGCTTTGCCGAGAGTGCCGTGGGAAAGCTTCCGGGAGGGGGACGGCCGCCAAACAACTAGAGCGTCGTGATAAGAAAATCAAACAGAAAGAGGATGCAAAGGCCACCCAGCAGTCACTTGAGGCTGGAAGTTGCTGCCTTTATTTCCTCTCCAGTCCGCTCGACCCCACCGCTGCCGCACTGCCCGAGCTGGCAGTCGGGGGAGCGGGGACCTCTCCTCCCCGGCCGCGCGGCCCCCCCCCCCCCGCCCACGCCGCGAGCCCGCCGCCCCGGGGCGCCAGGTCTCCGGGCCGTGCCCGAGCCCGGCCGAGCCGCGGGCCCCCGCGCTGCCCGCGCGCCCCCAGGTGGGTGTCGGGCCCCCGCCCCGCGCGCGGGCCCGGGCCGGCCCCTGGGCGGTGTCGCGGCGCGGCCGGGGAGGAGCGGCGGCGACGGCGGCGGCGGCGGCGGCGGCGGCGGCGGAGGAGGAGGAGGAGGAAGCGCGCGGAGGACGCGGGCGCAGCGCGCCGGGGGAGGGTCGCCGCCGCCGCCGCCGCCGCCGCCGCGGGGATCGTCAGGCCGGAGCCGCGCGGCCGAGCGAGCGGCAGGCGGCGGGCAGGGCTCGGCGGCGGGAGGCTCGCGGCGGCCGGGCCGGCGGGGTCCGCCCGGGCCGGCAGCGTCCGCGGAGCGGCGGGAGGAGGGAGCGGCGCAGACAAAGAGCGGCGCCTGGGCGGGCGCGGTGCGGCCGCCGCCCCGGGACCCGCGCCGCTGCCCTCCGGCCTCGGCGGGCGGCCCACGGCCAGGTAAGCGCTGCCGGCGGACTCCGGGCTGGGGCCGCGAACTTGGGCCGTTGGCAGAGTTGGCGTGCGCCCGGGGAGGGGCCGGGGGGTGGCCGGTGCCCTCGGCCCCGCCGCGGCCTGGCCCCCCGCGGCCGCGACGGCCCGGCCCCTCCCGGCCCCCTCACCTTCCCGCCCGCCTTCCGGGCACCCCCCCCCTCCCCCGTCTCCGGGCCGGCGCTGGGGGCGGGGGTGCCGGCGAGGACGCGGGCGGGCGCGGGGGCCTGGGCGGCGCGTTCCCGGGACCGGAGACCGCCCCGGGCGCGTGGGGGGCGCCTGGCCTGCGGGCGGGCGGCGGGCGCGGAGCCGGGAGCGGGCATGGGACCGTGCGGTGGCCGGGGTCGCCGGGGCGTGAGTCCCCGGGAAGAATAGCCCCGTTTCGCGCGGCCCCGGCGCCGGCACGCGGAGGCAGAGCTCGGCCCGGAGAACTTAACTGTGTTTACTGCAACTATTTATGATCCCGCACAAAGCTGCTGTCACATCGCATAAAGGTCCTTGCCTGGGCGAGGGGCGCTTTGTGACGGGTTCCAGGCTCTGCGTCCTGTCCCAGATTTACGGGACTCTCTTACAGCCACCTGAAAGAAAGTTTCTCACATCGCTCTGCCCTCTCTGTTTATTAAGGGCGATTTAACCACCGAGTGGTTCTGGAAGAATTTGGTGTGGGATTCTTAAGGCATTGAAGGTAACTCCCTTGTGAGTGCAGTTAGCTTGGCATTGTGTGGAGGTATCTAATTTGGAAAACGCTTTAATTTGAAGACAATGAAGATCGCCTTGGAAGGTCGGCGCGGGATGCTGGGCGCTATCCGTTGTCGAACATTAGGCACCTGACTTAAGCATTATAGCAGCTTCAGGGACAAAGCAGGAACGCGTATAGAGTGGGCCTGTGTCACTTCAGACCCTTCCGGTTGGCAGTTTCCCCTTTATTTGGTTTTGTTTATTTTGCCAACAGGTTTAAGCCTGAATCTGCCAAGTTTGTGTCTGCTTGAGGGAATGAGCAGGCCCTAGGAGCCTAAAAATCTCTCTGGCCCCTCCTTCTGTTAACCCAAACAGAAACTGAACCAGAGAGGCCAGTGCCTATGGCGTGTCCTGGACCTGCAGGTAGGAGAGGCCCTTCCTGGTTCAGGCCCATCCTCAGCGTCTCCCTGCTTCTGGGAAGGGATTTGGGTAGGAATGAGAATAATTTGGGTGTGTTTCATACCACTGCTTTGATATTGTTAGCAGCAGTGCTTTTCAAGTCTTAAAATGACTGAAAATGAAATTAACCAGGGCTACTTCAACTTACCAAAACAGATCTAAACTTTGCTTCTGAATACTCTCTTAATTCACTTACTGGGCGTTCCTGGCTAGATGGGTAAATTAATAACAGGATTCAGGCATGTGCGGTTTTTGTGTAAAGAGAATGGCAATCTGTGGACGCTTGTAGAAGAAATGGGCTTAACTGGGAAATGGAGCTGTTGATGTAGATTTTTCAGTGTTTGGAACAGGGGTTTCCCGAAAAACCGGGTCAGTGGTGCTTGTGCAGCAGTGACCCACAAGGGAAAATCCTACCTTAATGAATTCTCCCCTTGAGGTTGATTAAATATATGCAATTTTTATTGGAGAAAAAGGCCCGATGTTTGCGGTCTTCTGGCTGCAGCTCCTTGAGGCTGAAATTGAGAACTTTAAGCAGTGGGGAGATTGTAGGAGGTGCCTGGCTCTGGCGTCCTCTCCTGGAGGCCACACCTGGGCACCCAGCATCTCTGCTGTTAACCTAAACACACAACAGTACTAATCATTGAATTTAGGATGAAATTGGGTGGCAAATTACCACCTGTAGAACTGAGCGCTCCATCACCCACCTCTGCCTGCTTGTAGAGAAAGTGGTCCTTTTTAAAAATTTATTTATTTATATTTATTTTTAAAAATTTTACTTGTAAGTAATCTCTACACGCAACGTGGGGCTCGAACTCACTACTCCGAGGTCAAGAGTCCCATGCTCCACTGGCAGAGCCAGCGAGGCACCCCAAACTGGCTCTTTTTAAATGGGTGGGGCTTATATAAGGTGCATTTCCTTTTTAAAAAAATGTTTTATATATTTCTGAGAGAGAGAGAGAGAGAGAGAGAGAGACATTGTGAGCAGGGGAGGGTCAGAGAGAGAGGGAGACACAGAATCTGAAACAGGCTCCAGGCTCTGAGCTGGCTGTCAGCACAGAGCCCGACACGGGGCTTGAACCCACGAACCGTGAGATCATGACCTGAGCCAAAGTTGGATGCTCAAACGACTGAGCCACCCAGGCGCCCCTAAGGTGCATTTCCAATAGTTGTGCTCAGTTTCCAGACTTTGAGGTTTGCTTTATCACGTGCTATATGCTTAAATTCTCTTCATCTCTGAAATCTGTGGCCCTGCCCTGTCATTTGCATTGGGGGATTATTGAGGTTTTCCAACCAACAGCAGATCTTAGGTACACAGTGTTTGAGAAATATTAAATACACTGGAAATCTTCCTTGTATGTGCATAAACTAGATAACCTTTTAAAATGCCTTAAGACTCCCTGATTGTCTGGTATAACCTGGTGTCCTTTACTTGATCACTTGCATTCGCTTAATTTGCCCTGGCTAAATGACGCTGCGTTGCTCTCTGGGACACACATGCTTCTAACTGCCCAGACTGATTTGCAGCACGCTCTGGGGAGAGAGGGCTTGTGGACATGACTCTCCATCATTAAAAATGAGGCTGGCTGGCTAAGGGGCTGAAAATTGCTTGCTGAAACTGCACAGAAGGGCAGTGGACAATGTTTGGGAAAACTAGTAACCTCAACTCTTTTCACAAATGAACTGGAAACTCCCCACGTCTCACCGCAGGGGCATGGGGAATTAGTTTTCCCATCCAGAGGGATAGCAAATGGCGCTTCCAAATTGCTTCTCTTTCCTTAGATGAATGATGGAAACCCTTCATGGCATGTTTTTACAGGGCCTAAGCTACAAATGCTATCATGTATGTTGTTAAATGCTTGAGTTCAGGCAACTTCGAAAGAGGTCAAGACAGCCTTTAAACTGGTTATCAAAAGTATGCAGCTTAAGTAAAAATAGTTTCTTATGTCTTTAGGCCACTTTCATAACACAATTGTGAAAAGTAGAGTGTTCTTTCTTTTCCTTCATTTTACTTTGAACAGATCCCAAAGTATGTATGTTTCTAAAGGTGTCGTCAACATTAGCAAGTTATACCCCTCAACACACACACATACCCACACCCTCACGTCACCGTCTGCCCTGTGGTTTCTCGTGTTTATACCTTATAGACATGGATGCCCAACAAATATTGAACACATGAATATTGAGTTCTGAGCCTTTTGGGCAGTTAGGGCTCTCGTTTCCCCTGAAATGTGAGTAATAAAACATCTCCAGAATCTTTGTACCTCTGCTCAGAACCTGTAACCTCGTGGATGACTTTGTCCCCAGGATGTCTGAACAGTGGGTGAATTTGGTCTGGTGGTCTCTCCATTTGGTAAATTCTCAGTCAAATGCATCATTTATAGTCCTGGAGCTGAACTTAAAACAACAAAACAAACAAAAGAAAAGCAAAACAAAAAAACCCAACTGTATGCCCACCTGGTAGTTTGGCCACATGTATTCCTTTTCAGTAGGTTGTCTGTGTCAACTTGAAGTGGAAACTCAGGGCAAAGCATTCCTCATCCTGGCCTGGTTCGTTAATTAGTCAGTTCCACCTTACTTTTTCTCCTGCTTATTTTTTTAATGGTTTTAAGAAAAGAAGCTTCAAGGACATTTGGAATTTAAATATTACAGTTTCCTCTTGAGATAGTTTTGCTGTTCAGTGCTTAATAAAGCTCCAAAGTACCATGGTCAGGCAAGAATAATAGATATTAACTCGTGTGTTAATGTATAGTTTATAGATTGCTTTCCACAAATGCCACCCTGTTTAATGTTTGACATACCATGGTAAAGTGAGCTCTGGCCCATATTTCTCCGTGAGGAGGCTAGAGCTCAGGGACAACCCCAGGGATGTTGGAGCTTGAATTTGAATACAAGTCCTGCCTTCCAGAGCCCTTGGCCCTGCTAAGCAGGTGGTAGATAAGGAACACCAAAAGGGTGCTGGATAGATGTTTTCATAAGGCTGCTGATCTACTAGCACGTACCACTAATGAAGCGTCGTAGACCTTGTGTGGATGCCTTTGCCATGTTGCACATGTGAGCAGATAGTCTTGGGAGCAGATTCTCTATGTGAGTTGACTCTTTGAAGACGAGCTGCTTCAGGGGAGGCAGACGGGAGCAGTTACGTGAGCTGTTGTCCTTGCTTCATTGCTGGGAGCCAGCATTACCTTGGAGAGGCTCTGCAAGTTGAAATGTGCTTATTCATTCTTAGTGTGTATATCGGTCTGCTCCGGATGCCATAACAGAACCACACAGACTGGGTGTAAAACAGAAATTTATTTCTCACAGTTCTGGAAGCTGGGAAGTCCAAGATCAGAGTGCTGGTAGTTTCAGTTCTTGGTGAGTCTCTCTTCCTGGCTTGCAGAAGGCGGCCTTCTCATTGTGTCCTTGTGTGCTCTCTCGTTTCTGCTTGCAGAGAGTCTGGTGGCTTTTCCTCTTACAAGGTCATCCGTCCTGTGGGATTAGGGCCTCACCCGTAGGACTTCGTTGAATCATAATTACTTCCTCAAAGGCTGTCTCCACACACAGCCACATCGGGGTTGGATGGAGCTTCAATCTGTGAATTTTGGGGGTCCAGTTCAGTTCATAACAGTTTGTAATGCTGTGTTCAAACACAAGGCAGATGGCTTTAGGAAGTCCTCTTGTTTCCCTCACCCAGATCTGGAATCTGCTTATTTGAGAACACCCGTCGGAGATGGTTACAGAGCAGACTTAAGGTGGGAACGGGGCAGTTCATTATTAGTGATACAACGTCAACATAGGGAAGGAGCCTGGGCACTGGGTCAGATGCCGGTCAGGTTTCAGGTAGAGTGATTAAG